CAATCATGGTGAGGGTTATGAAAAGTGGCCTACTTGCTTGAGTGGCCTGCTCGCTTGTGAATTATGTTAATTATATATTAAGTTATATTTATTTTTAGTAATAATTAGTAGTTTTAGCAAGGATATTAAAATTTACTTTACTTTTTCGCTTTCTTTTATATTTAACTTTTTATATCTTAAGATTTACTAATCTTAATAAGGAAAAATTCAAATATATATAACTTTATACTATTAATAAACTATATATATAGTTATATCTATTTTTAGTAACAATTAGTAGCTTTAGTAAGAATATTAAAATTTACTTTACTTTTTCACTTTTTTTTATATTTAACTCTTTATATCTTAGGATCTACTAATCCTAATAAGGAAAAATTCAAATATATATAACTTTATCCTATTAATAAGCTATATATAAAGTTATATTTATTTTTAGTAACAATTGGTGGTTTTAACAAGGGTATTAAAATTAGCCTTAACTATAGGTTTTCAAGTGGCTTATTTTAGTCTACTGGCTTGCTCGCTATATAAGTATGTTATTTAATATTAAGTTAATTTAATTTCTTTAATATTTAGTTTATCTTAATATTTTATAATTATAATTATATTTTATCATTTATTTAAAAATAATTAGCTAACTATTAGTTTTTATTTATTTATAATTTTTATTATTTTTATATTATAGCTATTATTACTTATATTATTTTTATTATCTTTTAAATATATTTAATAAAAGCTTCTTCTTTTACTATAAACAATTTATCATCTTTTTATAATATTTTATAACTATACTTAGGTTAATATTATAATTATATATAAAAAAAAATAAAGTAAGTTTTATAAAGATTATTATTCTATTATTTATTATTATTATAATTATAAATAAATTTCTTTCTTAATTATCTTATTTATAATTTATAAAATTTCTATATCACTCCATTCGTTAAGACATCGACTTACGCTTTGCTTTAAAGACTTACGCAGACCACCCAGACCAGCCCGATGCCCGGGAAGACGATGGCGACCAGCAGTGCAGCACCGTGGCTCAGGTTCTCAAACGGCTCGTTGCTGCTCAGCCCCTGCGTGGTCAGGCCGAGGTGTAGCGCAGACAGGATCACGCTGATGCAACGAAGGCCGATAGGAGACAGGAGAAGTTCCTCTAGATGAAGGCCTGACGACACATGCTTGTCGAGAGGTGTCCCTGAAGATTGTAGAATGCTTGATGCTCTGATGATATAATTTGGCCTTGTATTGGTTTTTTCTTGACATTGCAACAGGTATGATGCTTTAGGACGGGGATGACCTTTGCTCTGCTCTTTTTGGCAGAAATATCGTCTAGAGTTTATGACAGACGGACAAGGCGAATCGCTACGCCGCATATCACAGCGAGGCTATCAGCGCCGGAGCTTCGACCGGAACCATCATGAAATATTGACATGGCAGTTTACGTACATGTAATGCCTACTGTGGACTGGGCCGCCGCCTTGTTGACCTCGTGCTGGCCGCCTCAGTGGGTCACGATGAAGAGTCCACAAAGTGCTGGCAGCCTGCACCAGACCATCCATGCACCAACACGGCTCTATGGACCATGATGTGCTGAGCTGTCAAACAGCTGTCTCTTGAGAGCCCACGCATTAGGGGGCCTCCTCACGACACTATGGTCTCTCAAGCAAATCAGTCCGTAGAAAACCGCCAAACCAGATTTTATGGACGCAACAGCGACCATCGTACATATCACCAAGGTATATAAGGTGCAAATCTATAGAGTGATAAAACATAAGTTATCAATTAGTGAGGCTAATACCAATTAAAAAGAGATGATACCGTCGAAAAGCTTACACAAGCTTGACAGACATCCTTATACACCCTCGATCGCTGGTGCTTACTTCAATCAGGTTACCACAACCTACTATGGTAAGGCAGAATCATGATTCAGCAGGATAGCCTATGTCATATATAGTATAAGCGCGAGGGGGAAGCTATGAGTTATCTCCAAAATATAGCAGGCCGAAGAGCTGTCCCTCCTCTGTGTTTTGTCATGTGCCAGCACTGCTGCTATGTCGGGGTTTCAGCTGATGGCTCACTCTCCTCTTCTGCCCATACGATACTACCATCGACGTTGACATAGAACCATCGACTATATATTATATTCTAGCTCCAATAAGACTTAGTAGTAACGCTACTCTAAGATACATCACTTGCCCTACCACTGCTTCGTCAGCACGAAGATGACTTGCCTCTCTTGCTGCTTGTCACCGGGCTTGCAGAAGGTGGGGGCCGGGACTTGGCTGCCTCAGAGGCTCTCTTCCTGCTCTCTTCCAGAAGAGTGTTCAGCGAGGACTGGATCTCGGCCAGTCTTTTGTCCTTGCCCCAGTCGATGATATTGCGGACATACTTGCGAAACTCTAGGTAATGATCCGGCCGTTGCAGCAAGAAGCTCTTAACATTTGCCATATTGTAACGAAGCTCGTCATCCTTCCACGAGATATAGAGTCGCGCCTCTGTGCCATTCATAGCAATAGAGAATGTAGCACTGTTGATTAGATGAATTTCATCATTCTTACACTGTTCCAACTGCCGGTTCAGTCGTTCGGCAACGTTGACACAGGATGCAGAACCCCCAAGACATTGATTTGTCGCCACCCACATACTACCGCTATCACCCTTGAACTCGACGACGAAGAACGGATATAGCACCTCAGACCCCACGGACGGTTCCGGCTCGACCAAGACCAGGACCACTTCGACGACGTCATCCGGATTTGACGTCCAGGCTCGCAATAATGGAATCCTCGATCCACGCAGCTCCCAACCACCTACGAACCTCGACGATCTCCGCAAACGACACGCCGAATCCCGAGCAACGGCTTCACCTCCCGAATCAGAGTACAATGACTATGCCGACAGAGTCGAGAGAGCCAAGAACGAAGCCACCGTAGTCGTCGAAACGAGCGAGCTGCTAAAGAAGTACCCTAAGGGTTACTCAAGAACATTCAACCAAGCATTCACGAACTTCCCAAAGAACGCCGGGTTTAATGATGGCCTATCAGCCCCACAACCCGACTTCGTTGAGGGGCTAGAGATGGAAGAATACCGCCCATTTCCGGTCGCCAACCACATCCCTACGGCCCCCCTCTACAAGGACGACCGCTATTCCTTGACGTTACCACATGTAGCCGGAGAGTGGAAGGGCCCCAACGGAAATATGAAGGAAGCAGAACTACAGAGCGCTTATGATGGAGCAGCACTCGTCCACGCACGAAGCCAAGCACTCGCCTACATGGGAAAGGAAGATCCCCCAGGTCACGCAGCAGTCACCACATTCACCACGGACGGCACCAACCTCCACATGTACGCTCATTACGCTACCCTATCTGCCGAAGACGAAGATACCCTCGAGTACCATCAGTACCCTATCTCGTCAACAGACATCAAGGGCACCTACCAAGGACACAAGGACGGACGAAAAAGTCTTAGGAACGCCCAAGACCATGCAAGGGATCAATCATACGACCTGAAAAACCAGCTGAAGCAACATTGGAAACAAAACCGCAATCAACTCCCACCCGTCGCCGAAGGAGTTCACCCACCGGACGTGGAGCCACCACCGCACGCAACCGACGGATACGAAGACGCGAGCCCGCATGTACTGCAAGAAGACGCAGAAGACGAAGACGACTACGAAGAAGGCTATGAGATAGTCCAGCCAACGACACACAAAGAATCTTCGCATCACTCAAACTCTTCACATCATCACCATTCATCGTCGCACCACTCGTCGCCACACCACTCCTCCAAGTCATCGCACCACTCATCAAGTCACAGCAGCAGCCACAAACGAAAGGCCCCATCCTCACAGACATCCTCCCATGGATCCTCCGGACACACAAGCAAACATGGAAGTTACTGGAAGAAGAACTCCGAGGGATATTACTACCACAAGCATTCGGACGGTACAGTCACATGGTACGATGATGTCAAGGACCACCATCGACATTGAGAGGTCCCAAGCAAGTACGGTCTCTGGGACATCGACCATGAAGGAGGGGAAACCTGTTACAACCTGCCACAAACCTGCCACGCCATGACAATGTTGCAAGCACGTGACCTCGGATGGTTATATAATCACGGCAAGCCACTAGGTCAGAAGTGACCATAGGACAATTGACTACGGGGTAATGGCACCAAGACATATGGCACCGGACCTATGGGTAGAAGGACACTAGACGACTAGATGGTAATAGTATCTAGGATAGTTGTAAGGAACCTTTAGTAAGCATAGCAGTAGTTATTTTACGTATGCAGAAGTAAGTGAAGCGAGGGTGAAGTGTAGTAGTATTCTTAGTATGTTTATAGCTGTAGGACTTCTACCACTGTAGCTGCAGGGCTCCTACCACTGTAGTTACAGGGCTCCTACCACTGTAGCTATAAGGCTCTTACCACTGTAGCTGCAGGGCTCCTACCACTGTAGCTATAAGGCTCCTACCACTGTAGCTGCAGGGCT